TTTCAGATGACAGCAAGATTGCCAGATTTAGATAATTCTCAGACCTTTTATGCTCGATTATAGAAAGCATTCTCCGCGCGGGATAAGGACAGGTATAGCGTAGACGAAGCCAGAATTCTGCAAACATATCAGGCCCTTGGACATAAACTTGCATTTCCTTTGGCAGATATTTCCCTAACTACTGCCAATTTGGATATGAAATTTATATGAATAGATAGGGGAATATGTGGTTCTTCAAGTGACACCAAGATTGGAAGATTTAGATAATTCGTAGACCTTTTATGCTCGAATATATGAAGTGTTCTCTGAGCGGGATAAGGACCGGTATAGTGCAGACGAAGCCGGAATTCTGCAAAAATATCAGGCCGTTGGACACAAACTTGCATTTCTTTTGGCAGCTATTTCCCTAACTACTCCAAATATGGATATGAAACTTATATCAATTGACAGGGAAACATGTGGCCTTTCCGATGACACCAAAATTTCCAGATTTAGAAAATTCTCAGACCTTTTAGGCTCCATTATATGAAGCATTCTCTGTGCAGGATGAGGACTGGTATGGGGCAGACGAAGCCAGAATTCCGCAAAAATATCAGGCAATTGGACAAGAACTTCCATTTCCTTTGGAAGATATTTCCCTAACTACTGCAAATATGGGTATGAAACTTAAATGAATGGACAGGGAAAAATGTGACCTATCAGATGACAGCAAGATTGCCAGATTTAGATAATTCTCAGACCTTTTATGCTCGATTATATAAAGCATTCTCTGCGCTTGGTAAGGACAGGTATAGCGTAGACGAAGCTGGAATTCCACAAACATATCAGGCCCTTGGACATAAACTTGCATTTCCTTTGGCAGATATTTCCCTAACTACTGCCAATTTGGATATGAAATTTATATGAATAGATAGGGGAATATGTGGCCTTTCAGATGACACCAAGATTGTCCTCCAATCTTGCTGTCATCTAAGAGGCCACAGGTTCCCCTATCTATTTGTATAATTCTCAGACCTTATATGCTCGATTATATGCAGCATTCTCTGCGCAGGATAATTACCGGTATGGCGCAGACGAAGCCAGAATTCCGAAAAAATATCAAACAGTCTGGCGAGAACTTGCACTTCCTTTCGAAGATATTTTCCTTAACTACTGCAAATATGGATATGAAACTTATATGAATAGATAAGGGAACATGTGGCCTTTCAGATGAAAGCAAGATTGGAGGATTTAGATACTTCTTAGACCTTTTATGCTCAAATATATGAAGCATTCCCTGCGCGGGATAAGGACCGTAATAGCGTTGACGAAGCCAGAATTCCGCAAACATATCAGACCCTTGGACATAAACTTGCATTTCCTTTTTATGCTCGAATGTATGAAGCATTCTCTGCGCAGATAAGGACCGGCATAGCGCAGACGAAGCCGGAATTCTGCAAAAATATCAGGCCGTTGGACAGAAACTTGCATTTCTTTTGGCAGCTATTTCCCTAACTACTCAAAATATGGGTGTGAAACTTATATGAATGGACAGGGAAAAATGTGACCTTTCACATGACACCAAGATTGCCAGATTTAGATAATTCTCGGCCTTTTATGCTCTCTTTTATGAAGCTTTCTCTGCGCAGGATAAGGACCAGTATAGCGCAGACGNTCGAATATATGAAGCATTCTCTGCGTGGGATGAGGACCAGTATAGCGCAGACGAAGCCAGAATTCAATATATGAAGCATTCTCTGCGCGGGATAAGGACCGGTAGGGTGCAGACGAAGCCAGAATTCCGCAAAAATATCAGGCCGTTGGACACAAACTTGCATTTCCTTTGGCAGATATTTCCCTATCTACTGCAAATATGGATAGGAACTTTATATGAAAGGATAGAGAAACATATGACCTATCAGGTGACAGCAAGATTGCAAGATTTAGATAATTCTTAGACCTTTTATGCTCGAATATATGAAGCATTCTCTGCGCGGGATAAGGACCGGTATAGCGCAGACGAAGCCAGATATCCGTAAAAATATCAAACAGTCAGACAAGAACTTGCACTTCCTTTGGCAGCTATCTCCTTAACTACTACCAATACGGATATGAAACTTATATGAATATATAGGGAAACATGTGGCCTTTCAGATGACAGCAAGATTGGAAGATTTATATAATTCTTAGACCTTTTATGCTCGAGTACATGAAGCATTCT